GAGACTGAAGAATTAAACTGCCTGGACATCAAAGTTTTTATTGCCCTCTGACCTGTTCTCTTGATTATTCAGGAGTGGGAATATCCCTTACTCAACCACCCACAAAAGAACATGTACGAGGGCATCTCCTTACATCCTCTGGGAATCTTCTGGCTCTTACTGTCTGCACAGGGGAAGGGCACAGAGTGGTTACCATTATACAGAGGGAAACTTCTTAGGTTGCTGTAGAGAGATGTGCCAAGGAGGGGAGATCAAATGAAAGTAGCTATTTTTAGTCGGCTGACTTGGACTAAAAAAGCTGATGGATGCAATGTGTTATTGCCATGAACTAATAGTTCTCTCTAGAAAGGGATGTTTTGGAAAGCAGCACACTTTGAGTGCCAGGGCACCATGCACATTGACTGACAGAAGAGGGCTATGTGTGAGTCCTTGGTTTTGAGTGAAATACCTTTCTTTTTTATTCAATTTCTGCCAGTCAGGCTAATCTGGATTGTGCTGTCATAAGCACATTCCAAATGCATGTTGCTTTGTAAGGCATATCTAGACTACTTGCTTCATCTCTATGTGTCAGACTAGTCAAAGGCACCTGTTCTTTCTCCTCTCATTTATTTCCATGATCTCTTCATTTGGGATTTCAGGTTTGAGATTTTAGATATTTGTCATTTGTGGTTTGAATCATGTCTTCGTGTACTTTTAACCATCCTCAGCTCTTATAGGGAAGGCTAGGATCTAAAATCTCAAATCAAATCAAATCAGTCAATCAATCAGTGATGTTGTCCACATTTTTCTCCCTTTCTGATCTAATGTATTTTTTCCCTATTAAGGACGTTATCACACAGGGAGTTGCGGGGAGAAAGTGGAAATAAACCGGACGAGCGGAAGACTTTAATTTACGGGATTTGTCCCGTTCCGCCTCGTCTGATAACTAAATTCGAATTTAAAAGGGGGTTAATTCAAACAAAAACCTGATCTTTTCAAATCCTCAAAAATCCCGAAAATGAAAAGATCAGGTTTGCATTCGAATTAACCCCCATTTAAATTCAAATTTAGTTATCAGAGGATGCAGAACGGGACAAATCCCGTAAATTAAAGACTTCCGCTCGTGCCCGTTTATTTCCACTTTCTCCCCGCAACTCCCCATGTGATAACGTCCTAAGTCCTTCCCTCTTTTTCAAAGATATAGACAGCCCAGCTAGTTACCTTTGACAGTTCATAGTCCTACAGACTGGCGTAGTGCTACTGTTGTTTGTGAACTTATAATTGTTTTTACCGAGAAAAGATGCCTAAAGGATATGTATCAAACTCCCAATATACCAGGCAGGAATCATAAGGGAAGGAAACATGAAGATAATTATAATGGAAAATGCTTCGCAGGTACTAATGGGGTGGATAGCTTCATGTAGAAATTTCACGGCTGGTGTGCAAATGCCAGGGGTTAAAAATCAACAACAGGACTATAATGACTCACACAACCACACACACATCAGGATCAAATCCAAAATCTTGCTTCAGTGTTTTTCTCTCTGCTCAGCAATAACTATCAAAAGGAGGCCCCACAAGAACTACCTTTTTAGAGGAAGTATTTATTCATTATCAGAACAGTTCAGGTCCAAGGGAAAACTAAATCCACCCCCCAAATAGGTTGACAGAATCTTGTTTCTATAATCATAGAAGTCTCCACTCAGGTTTAGAATAACTTTCAACTATTACTAGACTTCTTCCAACAGCTGCCCATTAAATCTGAATAAGTGTAGACATTCCAGTTGGGTGATCCTGTGCAAATATAACTTAAATTACAGAAAGTGTTACAAGGTGATGCCCTGTAGGTTTCAAGACTCTGGGCTTCCAGTTTAGAATTGCCCTTCCCAGCCATCAAGCACCATGGGGTCACTCCTAACTAGAGCTTGTAAAAGTAAAACCTTTTTGGACCATAACTCCTAGAATATCCCAGGCAGCATATCCAATAGGTTTCTGGGTGTTATAGTCCAAAAATAACTTTTACATAACTGTCGTTCTTAAAAACAGGATTAAAAACAGAAATCCTGGCAGATTTTTAACTTGTATCTGTACTGTGAGCAAGCAATATTTCTTCCACATCTAAAGTATCTGGAAAACTCTTGAAAAAAATGGTGCATTAAAAAACAGACATCTTGGTCTCTTTCTCCCTTTTTTTTTTTTTTTTTTTGGTAAAGCCATGCCAAAGGTTAAAATGTTTATTTTAAAAGCACTGAAAAATATTGACCAAGTCATCTCATGCACTAAGAGGTTCATGTATCTCTGTACTATATGCATGAGTCATTCCAGGGTAGAATCAAATACATGTTCTACAAATCCATCCCAGTGTTTTAATTCTATTCTTGGTCTTTTGCTGCCTGACATGATGGATTATTATAACTGAGCTTTTCTTTCTTTCACTTTAAATGTTGATTTGATAGCAAACAAATAAATAAATAGGAAATAGGAACATTACTTTTGTGAAAGACTCCTTTTATGGAAAGTACTGCTGCAGGAAACAGTGAAGACCTCTATCTAATATTTACAGCTGGAATATTATTAATTACTCCTTTTTCCATTAATTGAATTCTGTTTGGCCTACCGGTAATTATTTTGAGCACAGATTCAGAGAAAGACAAAAGGCAAATGGTGTTTTATCCTTTCCAAAGGAGTAATATATCAAAAATATTCCAATTATACAAATTAACTAAGAGCCATCGGTATTTTCTGTGGCACTCAGTTCCATAAGCTGATCTTTTCACATAAAAATGTGCCTATCTAAATTCTCTCAAACAGACTAGCTGTCTTGGGATATATGTTTTCACATGTTTCTTAATCACTGTTATGCAAAATGTGAAAAAATACAGTGAAAATTTACATTTGTACTTTCTTCAATGAAGTACTAAATTGGATACAAGTTGTGAGATATTGCACTACATTGTGGTTTGTGCTGTTGCCTCTGAGATCTTTGGAAGGAAAAAGGAAAAGTAGCTAGGAGTTCAGTTCATATCAAATTAAAAGCAAAGGAAACATTCCCAGCTTTTTATTCTGTTGCTTTAAAATAACCTGTGTTAATTATTTTTCCCCTTTCAGCTTTGCATTCATTATAATAAAAGCTCAGTGTTTGTTTGTTTCTTAGAGAATTTTATTCTATGTTCCTAAACAGTTTATGGGGCTTTTGAAAATGAAACACATTTTTTAAAAAGTCCTGTCTGCTTACTGCAAACATTTTCAAAGAGAACTCTATAAACTGTCAATTGTTAGTCTTACCAGCTCACCCATGTTTTATCAAAGTTAAAAAACACTCTATTGTAGATCCTTGTCATGTAGCAAAAAGAGGGGCAGTTTTAGAAAAGTTTAGCTTTTTTGAGTGAACTGAGTGAATTAAGTAATGGCCATTTTACAATTAGACTAACTTTAAGATTAAGCCGGACAGATTATTTTCCCCTCAAAACATCTTCTTTTGGTGCATGATTAAATCTATTTTTTAAAAAAAGTTTTTAAAATTGAATGCTAGAAAAATGCAAGATCCCAAATCAGATCTCAAAATACTATAAATTCACAAAAATTTTCAAAAAAATAGATATTCTTCCTTATTAAAATAGCAATACTTCTACATGTTTGAATGTGGTTTGTATGATACTATAAATTCACATAATTTTTAGGACACAGAGTCTCATTTTTAAAATAGCAGTATTCCTACATGTATGAATGCATTTTGAAGAGATTGTCTTATCCATTGTTAGCAGAAAACTTTACAGATGGATTATAATTATTTTAACAGCACAAGACATATCCATGCATTGGAATTAAGCCTCTCTTACCTCTTTTCCAGGAGTTAATTCTGGAAATTTCATTTCCCACCCCCACCCCAGCAGACTAGGAGAAAGATTTGTTGCAAAAACAGCTTTAATAGTCTGTCTACTTTTCAGGCCTCTGTCAAAATGTTCCACTCTGGCTTCAGAACATTTTCCTAACACTCTCTGTATTACATGTGTCTCTGTACCAGAGATAGCATAATGGTGCAAACATGCCAGCTATTTAGGTAGTCACATTGTTGTTTGTATCAACAGCACGATCAGTATGTACCTTCTAATGTTTGCCGTGTTGGGTTGCAAAGGTCCCCCTCTCTTCATCTGGCAGAGGCTAATTCCATCATCTTCACCAAGGTCTAGAGTTACAGCAAGTAAAGGTTGCCATTTACGTGGGACACTGAGCTCACTAAAACAAACTCCCTTTAGGTACAGTCTGTGGTATTCCTTCTTTCAAGGACACAGGCCCATACAATAGGAGGTTTCTGCCAAGGCAAATGTGAAAGACTTGATGTACCAAGGAAAAAAAGAAACCTTTTTCCTGAAAGCATCAATGAATTAATGTTTGGTACCACTGTATTGATAAGGCTCCTCTTGAATAATGAGAAATTATTCAAAAGATATCTTGGGTCAGCTGCTGGCAAGCTGTTGAATCGTCTCTTGTCTCATTTGCTGACAGTGAATTAATTTCTAAAACTCATCACAGAGGACTGCCCAGAAGCCATACCTTTTTATATAAAAATCTTGTTTCCTCATACCAGATGTGTCAAGCAGGCTGCAATGACTAAGGGGAGACTTAAATTCACTCTATACATACTCAGAGAAACTCTTACCAGCTCTTCTACGTCTTTTGCACATATGCTCTCAGCTCTGGTATTCAAAATGATCTGAAACTGAATACTCTTATGGACAATAACTTGGTAGTTTAGCTCATTTATATTGTTGGTGTTAGGCTGGGGTGTGTGTGCTCCAGTTTAGCTAAATAACATCTACAATTTTAGAGTTGTAGTAGGTTAAAATGAAGGTGATGGGGTTAACTCCCCACATGTACACCAGCTCACATGTACAGCAGCCAGCCAAAATCAGGGTGCAATGCAGCTCCTGCTTTGTGTTTAAGAAAGCCACAATAGAAACATGCATTTAAGATCATGTCTTTTTTGCTCCTTGTTTTTGGAACAGGAAATAGAAAGGTGAGAGGCCATGGCTCAGTGGTAGAGCATATGCATTGGATGCCAAAAGTCCCAGGTTCAAGCACTGGCATCTCCAAGATAGAGATGGGAGATGCTTTTCTCAGAAACCCTGCAGATCTGCTCCCAGGCAATGGTCCCAGGCAACTGAATGTTGGACTATGACTCTGGAGACCAGGGTTTGAATCCCCACTTGGTCACAAAAACTCACAGGGTGACCTTGGACAAGTCACACACTTTCAGTCTCAAAAGTCCCTGGGATAGATTTGCCTTGGTGTCACCATAAGTCAGAAACTTGAAGACACACAGCAACAACAACAAAGGGATATTGTTTGGCAACGCCAGAGTCCTCGTTTGACTTCTCCACTGAACTTCCAGAGGAGATAACTGCTTCCATTGCTAGTCTATTTGCCACTCTGTAGTGTTGTTGTTGTTGTTAGCTTCCCTCGAATTAACCTTGACTCATGGCAACCCTGTGAATGAGGTATCTTTTTATCCACTTATCTCCAAGTCTCCCTATCCTCCACTGCTCTGCTTAGGTCCTGTAGATTCATGCTCATGGCCTCCCCATCTCAGTCTAGCCATTTGGCATGAGGTCTTCCTCTCTTTCTACTGCCCTCTACCTTCCCTAGCATTATCATCTTTTCTAGTGAGTCACACCTTCTCATGATGTGGCCAAAGTACAACATCCTCAGTTTCATCATCTTGGCCCATTTGTTTGTCTTTTTGGCTGTCCATGGTATCTTCACTCAATACTCTTCTATAGCATTACATCTCAAATGAATTTATTTTCTTTTTATCCACTTTCTTCACTGTCCAGCTCTCACATCTGTACATGGTGATGGGGAATATAATCACTTGGATGATTCTAACTTTAGTGCTTAATTGTATATCTTTACATTTTGGGGTCTTGTCTAGTTCTTTCATAGATGCCCTATGAGATAACTGAGTACAAATTACTTTTGCCCTTTGAAATCAGTTTCCAGTGACTGATTTAAGCTGAGGACAAAAGGGGAAGTGAAAGAAGAAGAGAAAAACTGGGACATTTTAAAAGCATCTGAAAAAGTGAGGTGACAAGGATTAATTGGGACTGTCCCTGCCTAATCAGGAGAGCTGGATGTTATAAAAAACATTTCTGCCCCACAGTTGGAGAATGTGTGCCCCTCCAGACATGGTTAGTCTACAGCAGAGGTAGGCAACCTTTTTGAGCCGGGGGCCGGGTTGCTGTCCCTCAAACAATTGGGGGGCCGAAGCACCAAAAATAAATAAATAAATAAATAAATAACATTAAAAATATGCATGCACACTCTCTCAGCCCCAGAAAAGCCATGGCAAAACCCCTGTGGAGATTTTGCCAAGAAAACCCCAAGAACAAGTAATAACAATAATAACCAATATTATCATGGTGGGTGGCGGCGGCGGCGGCTGCGGCAGGACCGGCCTGGGGCCGGTCCAAAGGCCTCGGGGGGCCGCATCCGGCCCCCGGGCCTTAGGTTGCCTACCCCTGGTCTACAGCTTCCATCATCCCTCATGATGAGCTAAACTGGCTGGGGTTTCTGCAGTCCAACAACATCTGGAGGACCTCATGTTTCTCAGCCCTATTCTATGTTCAGAATTCTTGGAGATTATCAACATTTATAGAATCACACGAGCTAAGAAAGATCTCCATAATGTGGAAAGGTGCTAGCATGTTGCATTTTCATTTCTCTTTTCCCCCCGGTGGCAATGCTGATAATTTAAGCACAGAGTTTTCCATTTCATATTATCTATCTGCCATTCACTTTTCACCTAATCTGTTAAACTAGCTCATTGATTTTCTTCTAGGGGAGAGATAATAGTTCCATTTTAACATATGACCTTGATTTATCTTTCCTTGTAGGTTCATAAGGAAATCTTGACAGAGTTCTTCCCTGTAAATACCAGCATAGTGGCTGGGCCAAAGGCATGTCACAGTAAGTGCAGAGGTTGTTCTTTTGTGCATAATCACACAATAAATTCTCTCTCCCCCTTCAGTAAGTCATGCTTATTGCTTAGTTGGTTTCATTGTTCCCCCTTAGGAACAAGCGGAAAACGACCAGTCTGTTGCTAACCATTGGAACCTCAGCCAATGAAGAGTTCAGCAGCAATAGCAAAGCAGGGCAAAGCTATTCCACATTAATTCAGCCATTATCCATTGATCCTCAAAGAGTAGGTTAACTTAAAATATTTTCTCTCTGTGTTAACTTAAAATATTTTTACAAAAATCCTTTCCAATACTGAACCAAATGCCGGATTCATTCCTCTTTTCCATTCAACCCTCCTCAGTTTTAAACCATGTCTGACTGGAGCTTTGGCATCAATCAGTGGGAGGATTAGAAACAGTCATGTGGCTGCTCTGGAGCTTAGCCATTTGTCATATTCTTCCAAAGACATTTAAGAAAGGACGGTCGGATCAAAGTAGCTACTTAGTACAGAGATGGAGAATTCAAAACATCCAGGGATTTAAATGCCTTTCAAGTGTTTGGGAGATGGGTAGAGAGACTGCATACATTTCTTTTTATAAAATTATGCTAAAGCAAAAAGCAAATGCATTTCTTGAAAGAGCAATTATTTATACTCTTTTGCATTTTGCTGAGGAGTAGGAAGTTTCAGCATATCATAGTGGTTTAAGCATCAGACTACAATTCTGGAAACCAGGGTTTGAATCCTCTCTCAGCCATGGAAACCCACTGGGTGACTTTGGACAAGTCATACCTTCTCAGCCTCAGAGGAAAACAATGGTAAACCCCCTCTGCCAGGAAAACTCTATGATAAGTTTATCTTAGGGTCACCATAAGTCAGAAATGATTTGAGGGCACACAACAAAAACATCAAGGAAGTTTCTGGCATTCACTATACTTTCCAAAAAAAAAAAAAAAGGGATCTAGAATCAAAGAAGCATAGAGCTCGAAGAGACCCCAAGGGCCATCCAATCCAACCCCCTGCCATGCAGGAAGACACCATCAAAGCATCCCTGACAGATGACCATCTAGCTTCTCTTTAAAAATCTTCAAAGAAGGAGACTCCACCACACTCCCAGGCAGCATGTTCCACTGTTGAAGAGCTTCCTAATGTTCTTCCTAATGTTTAGATGGATTCTCTTTTCTTGTAACTTGAATCCATTGCTCCATGTGCTATTCCCTGGAGCAGCAGAAAACAAGCTTGCTCCATCATCAATATGACATCCCTTCAAATACTAAAACATGGCTATCATGTCACCCCTTAACCTTCTTTTCTCCATATCCAGCTCCTTAAGCCACTCTTCATAGGACATAGTTTCCAGACCTCTCACCATATTGGTTGGCCTCCTCTGGATATCTAAAGGTTGTGGATATTTAAACAACAAGGAGTGGGATTGATTTACGTATTACAGTCATGACCACATAGCGAGTGGTTCATGTTCTTCAAGCAAGTTAGACTTTTTTTTTTCATTTTGGTGGCCAAAAATAAAGCTGTGTAGTGGCAAACTAGCAATTGATTGGTGTAAGTGGTTAGCCATTGGTAAGAATAGTACAAAATGCAGCAAAATGCTGTTAGTTGCTGTGAAGCATTAACAGGCCTCAAATGTACACTACTTGAACTATTTTCTGTACAGCAATTCTCAACAGATATGTATGTGTGTATTTTGTATTTGCCTTCAATTCACCTGTCGACTTATGGCAACCTTATGAATGTCATTGGGTTTTCTTAGGCAAGGTATACTTGCCAGTTCCTTCCTCTGAAATAAAGCCTACAGTACCTGGTATTCATTGGTGGTCTCCTACCCAAGTATTAACCAGAGCTGACTCTGCTTAGCTTCCAAGATCAGATTGGTTCTGGTGCCTCAGAGTATTTATGCCTTGCATATTATAGTATGGGTGTTTTTGACCATTGTGCCATAGAACATTGAAAGTGATGTGCTACAAATTATAAATCAGGTAGCTATTTCTAGGCGCATTTATAAGCACATATAAGTAGGTCTTGTAGGTCTTGCAGCACTTAGCTCCACATAGTGGTTTGCCAACTTGGTCACTGTGGTGTTATGGAACTTGGGGGGGATGATGCTGAATGTATTAGATAAATGCCTTTGCAGACTGCCAGAAATAGTGCAAATTGAGTCCACTTTAAGGGTTAGGTTTAGAGTTAGGGAATCATGGGAACTGTATTTTATTGTGGCACCAGAGCTCTCTGACAGAGAAGGCTCAATATCTCAGAGAAAAAAACAATTCCCATGATTCCCTAGCACTAAACCTAACCCTTAAAGTGGACTCAATTTGCACTATTTCTGGCAGTATATGCCAACATGGTATAGTGATTTGGTTGTTGGGCTACAACTCTGTAAATTAGGGTTTGATTCCCTGCTCTGTCATGGAAACCCACTGTGTGACCTTGGGTGAGTCTCACACACTCCAGAAAATCCTGTGCTAGGGTCAACTTAGGATCACCATGTCAGAAATGACTTGAAGGTACACAAGCACCATACAAGTAATAGTAGTTGTAATAAGATAAGGGTCTGTGGGGAGGGAGGGAGAGAATGGGATGTTGGGAGTGAGCAGTGATTGGTGAAACATTTGAGGGAATTTTAAAAGGTTAGTGCATGACAATTGGTCAGGAGTGAGGGTTGAGTCTGTCAAGATTAGAAATTAGTGAGTGGAGTTGAGGAGTTTGAGTATTTAGAGAGTTAGAACCTTATCACGCAGAGGCAAATTGCTTAAATCCCGTGCAGAACCAGGATTTTAAAATCCAAAAAACCTGCAAAAGCGGTTTGTTTTTCAGATGTATTTGTGTAAAGGAGAAATAATGCGACATTAACCCAAATGGAAAGTCGCAAACACCCGCTGCTTTTTACTTTCAGAAGTTCCCAAAAGTAAAAAGGAGTGGGTTTTGCCAGTTTTCCATTTGGTTATTTTCCTATTATTTCTCTTTCACGGAAATGTTGTCTGAAAAACAACCTGCGATTGTGGGTTTTGTCTACTTTCTATTTGGGTTAAACCCAAATATCATGTGCAAACAACCCGCAAAAGTGGGTTTGTTTGTTTTTTTACTTTAAATCTAGTTTTTGCACGGGATTCATCCTATGTG